CTGGCTGGCTTTCAGGAAAAATAACTCAAGAGAAAATCTCAGGCCAACAAGCATCCGTCTTCCAAAAGGACCCATATGTGTCGCTCTGCGCCACTCAGGTGCTTTGATCCAGGAGAAAAACCCTGAGCCAGGAGAATACAGGTACTGCTCCATCGCAAGTGGCCAGGAGAGTTTCTGCAGCCCCCAGGTAGCGTGGCTCCAATGAATAGCTGCTTCTACGCCGCAAACACAGGTTACTGGTGGAGTCTCGAAATCTGCCATTGCCAAGTTGATTAGCAAAGGCAGAACTAAGAATGTCCACCCAGAGAGGTGACAAATTGAGCCCCAAAGGAGATGAGTGCTCAGAAGCAAGTGGCATCCACATTCAGGAACCTGTGCCAGAGGCCTCTGAGGCGGCGAGCTGCGACAGGAAGGTTCCTGAACGGGGGATCAAACCCAGGGCACCCCAACCCCGCGGCGCAGCTCACCCCTCTCGCTGAGCCCTCAGCACCACACCATTCTGTTCCCAAGACGTCTTTGGGCCAACTCAGAACCCTTCGTGTGTGTTTGTGCCTTTTGTCTGGGTCTTGGTTGTTTTCTAGGTAAGTAAGGCTTCCTTCTGGCAGCCCTTTCCTCCTTGCCAATTAACCACGTCCTTCTGGTTCTCCATCCCGAGAAGCTGGTCTGCAGATCTGCTAAGGGTCCAAGACTTGGCGGAAACACTCTAACTACATGTGAGTCCCACCACCCTTGTAGAGGTGGCGCTGATACTGAGCACCCCCGAGACAAGATGCCAGTTTTCTTTCTTTTTTTAAATCCCCACCCGAGAATATGCTTATTGGCTGTAGAGAGAGGGGAAGAGAGAGAGAGGAGGAAGAGAGAGAGAGAAGCATTGATCTGGTGCCTTCTGTCCACACCCTGACCAGGAATCAAACCTGCAACCTAGGTATGCGCCCTGACCAGGAATTGAACCCACAGCCCTTTGGTGTACAGGACGATGCTCCAACCAAATGAGCCACCCGGCCAGAGCCCAGTTTTCTAAACAACACAAAACTTTCTTGGCTCCTGAGTCACCGTTCGCTCTGTCTGCGAGTGTCCCAAGTGACGCAGATTTACATCTAGGGGATTATGGACTCAAACCGAACTGTGTTTCTGAAGGAGCACAGTCTAGTCACGTCAAAGAGGAACCCAAATCAGAGATGGGGAGAAGGAAGCTCAGAGGCCCCAGGGACCCGGGTGCCAAGGTCAGGAGCCTGGCCCTGCCTGACCCACAGACACAGGGCATGGTCTAATTCAGGCACAGGGAGGAAACTGCCTTCTTGAAAGGGCCCAAAACTCAGAAACAGTCAACCCCAGTGAAAGGGACGCCTGCCTGCATTTGTAAACTCACACGGACTTCCAGAGATGTAGAAGAAACCAGGGCACGGAGGAAACAAAGGAACAGTGCTGCTACCTGGGAAGCAGTTTGCCAAAAAAACTAGTCCTGAATTGGACCAAGTCTCTAGATCTAAGTCTTACCCGTTTGCAGGAAAACAGAGGGGTGAAGGAGCGTGCGAAATACCACCGCAAGAACGCTACCGGCTAAACCCGGGTGCAGGAAGCTTTACAGGACAAACGACGCAGACTCTTCAACAGGGAAGGGGCAAAGGAAACTCGAGACTAGAGTGAAGAGGGCTGTCAACCAAATGTAACGCTCAGGCCTTGTCTGGGCCTGATTCAAACCAACCGACAGAAACACGGTGTTTATGAGGTGACCGAGGAGGTGTGGACACCACCCAGGTATTGTTGTGGACTTTCGTAGGTTGGATGACAGTATTGTGTCTGTTTTTTAAGAAGAAACCTGTGAACCACACGATCGGGGTTCAATCCCCAGTCAGGGCACATGCCTGGGTTGCAGGCCAGTTCCCGGCAGGGGACTCACGAGAGGCAACCACACATTGATGTTTCTCTCCTTCCCTTCTTGTCTAAAGATAAATAAATAAAATCTTTAAAAAAAAAAAAAAAAGAAACTTTACCTCTGGGAGATACATTCTGAAGTAGTTCACGATACAATTATATGACATCTCGGATTTGCTTTAAAGAAACCCACCAGGTGAGTGGGACGCAGGAATGAGACGGGTGTACACGGCTAATTGCTGAAGCCGGGTGACAGGCAGCTAAGCGTTCACCAAGTTGCTCTGCTTTTGTTGAGGGTCAGAACTTTACAGAACACAAACATTAATTACCAAAAAAACTTTTCAAAAGGAAGGTCCCAGTTTTTAATCATGGCTCCAGCTACCGACTCTCTGAGAGGCTCTGAACAAACCTTTACCTCGCTGCACCCCAATCTCTTCCCCCAGAGCCTGAATGGGTTCAAATCCTGGCTTGGCCCCACCATCCTGTGTGAGCTTCCATGGTTTCCTGACCTCTCTGTGCTCTGGGCGTCAGCACACAATAGGAATAATAATCGTCCTGCCTCGTAGGGCTGCCGTGAGGATTAAACGTGTTCGCTCGTGGGCAGATCCGGGCACATGGCACTCTTGTTTGCTACTGTTACTGTTGTCTGTTACTTTTATCTGGAGGAGGAGGGGGAGGGGACCCCTTTGGAGACGTGGTCTGCCTCTCCTAGAGCACCAGAGTTTCAGAACTGTGTCCCGGTCCTCCCCAGGTGCCGCGGTTCATGCTATGCTTCCTCTGTAGGACTGGACCTGTGTTCTGGGAAACACCAAGGTGCTCCTTCCCTCAGCGGCGACGACAATGTCCCCTCTTCAGTTCTCCCCCTGCCCATTGCCCATGTGCCTTGCTCCCCAGTGGCCTGTTCCCAGGTCTACCTCTCTCTTCTTGCTTCCTGGAGGAGACAGCATTGGACGGAGAGACTCCCTTCCCTGTCCCCTCTCTTGACCCCTCCTCATGAGGCCACCTCTTTCAATGTCCAGAAGGACCCTCTGTAAATCAGGAAACCGTCGGGTGGAGTGAAGGGAAGTTAGAGAGAACTCCGGACTTATGAATGCATAATGCTGAACTTTCTGGAAATGGACGGGCCCAGTGCCAGTCCTCACCAGGGTTCCTAGATTGTATTTTTCCTACAAAAGGACCATTATGAAGGCCCCACATCTCCCGTGTGACAGGGTTAGAGTTGTCACACTGTGCGCTGTCACAGGGACCAGGAGGTGAACAGCTTTCCCAGCTGTGCCCTTATGCTCAAAGGCACTGGGGTCCTGGAAGGAGGTCCGTGGGAGCCAAGGGGATGCTGAGAGCCCCGTGGCCCTTCCCAGCTGCTGTGCCAACGGGGCCTGGGAGACGGCCCAAGACATCAGATGGAGCAGCCCCACCCGAAATCCTGGATTGCCTCGAATGGCCATTATTCCCTCTTCGCTGTGTCAAGAGGCACATGGGTCACTGGGCCTGTCCGGTCGCACAGGATATCCTGGAAGAGCCGCACCCCCACCCCCACCCCGAGTTCTCTGCATTTGCTTGTGAGATCATTTCTCTCTGCAGATGCAAGTGGCCGTGTGGTCGAATTAGGAGAATGCAGAGTGGCTGTCAGGAGAGCGGACCCCCGCCCACCTCTGCACGTATCTGACCCACCGGAGTCCACACTCCCTTTTCTGCAGAAGGAAGACACCAAAGGTAACATGTAAGGTGTCTTCCCATCCCAGTGTCTATTGCTCTGCTGCTTGTTACAAGAAGAGTGTTCTTCTCTTCCCCACCAGAGCTGCAGGCCACGAAGCTTTGGGTCCCACACTCTTCCCCTCTGCAGTCATCTGCATCCAAAGTGACCTTGAACTAGCTCACCCCTTCCCTCCTCCCTTTCTCCCACACCCCACCTCTTGAGACCAGTAAGAATGGAGACATTTGAGTTCAGGTGCGTCCAATTTTCCCTTGTAGCTCTGAAGGACACTTGCTGGCATATTATTTGCACGCATTCAAATATAACAAAACAACTACACAGAGTCTAACCGTTGGTTACTGCTCAACACCCCAGAGCCCTGAAATGGAACCAAAACATATCTCACTAAATGGACTGGGGACATTTTCCCAAACTTCTAGGGTAAAGGAAGGAAATACTAGAACCTCAGGTCACATTCATTTTACCACATCCTTTAAATTTTTCTATTTCTTACGTATGCTTTTCACTCCTCAAACCGTATTCGTGTAACAGGATATGTATGTAATTTATACATTGCATATAATGGGTGTCCAGGGACAAAAAGACTTGGTGCCTGAGTCACATGATCACAAAAGTTGGGAGCCATCATCACACTAGACCATCTCCCAAAGCTGCAGACAGACACAGAGGGTTTGGTCCGGCCACAGCCGAGCGGCCAGGTGTGTGGGGAGGGAAGTCCAGGTTACCCTCCACCAAGGCCACGCTGGCCACCAGAACACCAGGCTCCCCGGGGCCCCCGTCACACCACTCGCCGACCCCTTTGGGACTCGTGGCAACCTCCCTCACCCCAGGGGAGTCCCTCTTGCCATCAGCGAGGCTCCTTATGGCCACAAGGGCTTGGCACCCACTCAAGAACCCACTCTCTTTCCAGAACGGTGGTCTTGGCCCTCACGACTTCTTCTATTTCAGGAGCACACATCCCGCTCAGGGGTGGGGGGTGGTGTTGGAAAGAAAGCGCTGGTCCTTTCCAGGTCTCATTCTGTGATTTGCTCACTAAGAGTGAGCAGTGGCATTTGTCACTGAAGAGGGAAACTCTGAGCTTGGTCTTTAAACAGACAGGTGATAGGATAGAAAGATGAATGGGTGGGAGGATGGATGGATGGAAGGTAGACAGATAGATAATAGAGAGACGGATGAAAATAAAGAGAAATCAAATAGGCTTCCTGGAGAACTGTTGTGACCACCAAACCCAACTACTCCTCAGACAGGAGGGCACCCAGAGACACAGGCTGCAAGGTAGGTCAAAAGCAAGTCACTGCTTCTCTGCTGCACTGAAGGGCGGCTAACGACCCGTCGGGCTGGCCCTGCCAGCTAGAGCGCGGCCTGCCGCAGAGCACAGCGGACAGGAGGCTCGGGACCCCGGGCTACTCACCCACACACTGGTTGCCTTCGTCCATCTGGAATCCGAAGCGGCAGATGGGAGGCCTCGAAATCGTGGGGTAGTTTGGGGCCGGCAGCGGTGGGGCAGCTGCTGGGTAAGGGCCTGAGTAGGAGTTCGAGTAGGGGTTCGAGTAGGGCCCTCGGTACACCGGGTTCGTCCGGGGGATGCACAAGTACCCGCCGTTCTGGTTAACACACATCATGTCTCCTCGGCAGGCCTCGGGGATGGTCCGGCACTCGTCGACGTCTGCAAGGCCACGGAAGACACAGGCGTGAGTGGCCCCCTGGCCGCGCACGTGGGGGGCTCAGTTAGGCAGACCTCTGTGCCAAGAAGAACCCCACTCTGCCCGCATCTGCTCCCAAACAGTGCCCATCGCCGACAAGTGCACCACAGGTTTGTCACCTTGAGTCAAAATGATCAATGTCCCCCAAACGTCAGCCATCAAATGCCACCATCAGGATCTTAGCCTTATCCTCAAACGCCTGTAGTATCAGCTGCTTGATACTTTTTAAGACATGAAACTACATTTGAAACCCAAGTGAATGTTTTTTTAAAATTTTTACATGACTATAGCAAATGAAAAACGCTATCTGTTAGCATAAATAGAAGGTAACAGAAAAAATAAACATATGACTATTAAAATAAAGAGTGTGCATCTGTGGGGGCCAGCATGTCAGATACACTTGTATACCCACAGGATGCTCAGGAAACCCTGGGGCCGACCTGGAAACCATGTCTGCTCCAAACAGCAGCGGGGCAGGGAACGAAGAGCCCCTTGCTCCAAACGAGGCTTGGCTGAGAGCTAGTTCCTGGTTAAGACGCTGGGGCCCCACTTGGAAGTCAGCTCACACCATGCCAGCAAGCGGGGCGCACTGCCAGCCAGGCTGGTGCTCCGCCCGCTCTGCCTGAAAGGAGAGGTGGGTGTTCCAGCCTCGCTGGCCCAGGGCAGGGGCAGCCTGAACTCTGGCCGCAGCCTGAGATGGGCAGCTGACCTGCTCCCCCTACACACGGGGCTCTCCCGCCAGCCTTGGGGGCTGCTCCACGTGGGACAGGAGGCTGGTGGGGATGTCAGGATGCTGACGGCTCACCCCAGCCATCTCACCTGGGAACCCCCCACCAGCTCCCACCTTGGGAAAGCAGAAGTGGGGGCTCTGATGCCCCAGTCAGTAGCTGTCAGCCTGAACTCATCCATGAAAGCGGTGCGTTGGGAGGAATTATAGTTAGCTATAAAAAAGAAGAAACTTTTACCCTTTGCAACAGTGTGGATGAACCTGGAGAACATTATGCTAAGTGAAATAAGACAGTCAGAGAGAGAGAGACAAATACCATATGATTCCACTCATATGTGGAATCTAATGAACAAACTGAACTAACAAGCAAAACAGAGACAGACTCGTAGATGGAGAGCAGATGACAGCTGGTCAAGGGGGAGTCAGGGGGTGGAGGGACTGAGCAAAGAGGAAAAAGGACTCACGGACAGCAGCGTGGTGACTGCTGGGGAGGGGGTAGAAGGGGACTCAGTGGTAACGGGAAAAAATACAATAAAGATTAAGATAAAAAAAAACAGATAGGCCATACAGTCCAGCAAGTCCATGTCTGGGCAAACATCCAAGGGAAATGAAAATGGGGTCTCGAAGAGGCACCTGCACCCCCATGTCCACCGCGGCCTTATTCCTGGTAGCCAAGGCATGGAAACAACCTGTGTGTCTATCCACAAATGAATGGATGCATAAAGAAGATATCACACACACACACACACACACACACACACACTGGGAATATTACTCCAGGCACAAAAGAAAGCAATCCTGCCATTTGCAAAGACACAGGTGAATCTTGGAGGTACTGTTCTGAGATAAGTCAGGCAGAGAAAGACAAATACTACCTAACCTCGCTTATATGTGGAATCTAAAAAAGCCGTACTTAGGAAAGTAGTGAGTAGAACGGTGGATGCTGGGGGCTGGGGGAAATTGGGAGAGGCTGGTAGAAGGGTACAGATTTCCAGCTATGAGATGAATAAGTTCTGGGGATCTAATTAATGCACAGCCCTGGGATTATAGTTAACAGTGCGCATTACATACTGAGAAAGCGCTAAGAGAGTAGGTCTTAAATGTTCTCATCACAAAAAGAAGGGAGAATTATATTATGTGATGGAGGTACGATCAAGAGCTATGGCGTTAATCATATTTCAATATATAAGTATATCAAATGAGCATGCCGGACACTTTAAACCTACCAAATGTCATATGTCAATTACATCTCGGTTTAAAGAAAGAAAGAAACTCCATTTTGCCAACGATTCACATGAGCGAGGACCTGGGTTCTCCCCCCGCAGCGTCCAGACAGAACGGGCGCTGCTCGCCCGTGGGGAGCAGCCTGGTCAGACCTCTGTCGAACTCCCGACCTCCCGACCCCTGAGATAATACATTTGTGCTATTTAAACCTCCAAGTCGGTGGCCATTCGTTACGGCAGCCTGCGGACACTAAGGCTGATGGAGAGCTCGCTGGGGACAGGGATCAATTCTTACCCATCTTTGCCCCCTCCCAGGGCTCACCCCAGTGCAGGGGACGGGTGACGGGAACAGAGAAGGTGACGGATGAAAGGGTGCCGTTGACTTCAACCCCCCTGTGGCACCCTGTGGTACCGTTTTCCTCCGTGGGCCAGGCTTGTACAGACTCCACGGTATTGGGCAACAGCTAAGGGAGACACAGCCCTGCCCCGCGGCTGCCACCACCTGTCCCCTCCATGAGCCTGTCCCCACAAAGGGTCTTCCGTGGCCTCTTACCTAAACACCGTCCTGACTGGCGGTCCAGGTCAAAGCCGTTAGTGCATTGCTGCTACAGGGAGGAGAGAGAAGAAAGAGGCAAGGTTGTTTTACTGACATATTTTTGTTTAACTCTAAAAGCATTTGAATGGTATCACAGAAAGCTCAGGAAACAAAGAAAATAAAACATCCACAACAGCAGCATGTGTTACAACCCCACTTGTCCTTTTTGTGCACAATCATTTCACACTTAGCCTTACTTTTTAAGTCCCTGCACCATTGCTTCAAAACCCCTGTTTTGAGCAGAGGGTTCCGGGGTTGTTTCACGCTCTAGTCACGAAGCACAACGATCGCATCTGATGCATCTGATAAGGCACTTCCTGTGTCCGTCCACAGTCGCTCTCTCTGGGTGCTATTCAACCTCCCCCTCTCAGCACCCATCAGGAGTTCCTTGTACCCTATGAACTCCTCTATCTGATCCTGAGGTCTGCACATTAAATAAAAGCTACTCAGCGATGCAGTCTGTTTTCTAAGAAAAGTAGATTAAAGGAAATGCCTCCATTTCAAATGCAGCAAGACAATTCCACAAGGACACAGCCAAAAATAGATCTCTAAGGGTCCCCAAGGGTTGTAGGCTTCATGTACAACATGAGTTACAAGTTTCTGCATTTAGAAAATCTGTCACTGGGCCTTTCGGGAAGCCCCTGGAGCCTGCCATTTGTAGGAGGAAGGCCACAGGAGTTCCGCTTCCCTGAGCTGAGGGGTTTAGGCTGTATGCCTGGGAGTACGTCAGGTGTCTTAGAGCCTTGGAGCAAAAGAGACTGAGCGGACGAGCCAGGAGGCTGTGCTATAAAGCTCAGGAAACCAGCAGAGCTGGGTGCCAGCCCTGGCTCAGCAGCTAATGCCAAGTGCAGACACGCAAGGGGCACTGCTGCCCAGAAACAATGGAGCACATTTGACTTAACATTTAAGATGAGTCAAGACACCCCCCACAGGGACACAAATGAAGGGGATGCTCCGATGATAAGAATCTCAGTTTGGGAGTCAGGGCACTGAGGTCCCAGGCCTACCAATTCTGAACTACATCGCCTGGGGCAAGTCTCCGCTAATCTCTGTGTAAAGAAGAGCTTGATTTAGGTGAACTGTGAAGCCCTTGCCAAGCCTAGGATTGCAAAAGGCATGGCCAGACATCCTGATTTGTAACACGCTTCCAGGTCGTTGATAAAACTAAAAGCTTACCTGTGCATTCCCAGGACTTGGAAGACAGAACGCCAGAATGGTAACAGTGAGTATCCTGCGGAGAGCGAAAAGTGACGTAAATGCCTGAGATACTTTCCGGATCCAGGTCTGGGGGTAAAGGTGGATCTCGTGCTGCTGTGCATTTACAATGGCGATGTCACCTTGTGCTTATACCAGGGGCGGCGGGAACTCTGGAGAGACCAAGGGGGACCCTGGATACCCCAACATCCCATACAGAATGGGCCTCTTCTACTGGTTTTATACGTTGGGATAATGTGTTAGATGGCATTGTTTTTTTCAACAAAGGCTTTGCTACTTCAAAGAACAAATCTGAAACCCACTGCTGTGGTATGAACAATGTATCAGCCAGCTGCTCTGATCTCACTGCTTACAAAGAGATGGGCCTGAGTCTCAAACACCTTTATTAAGAAATGGTGACAGAGGAAGGAGCCAGCATGCCTATGATAAAAGGAAAGGAAAGGTGGATCCCAGAAAGTCACCCAACCCCCCACCCCAGCACGCTTCATGCTGGCCCTGTGGGAGAAGGGGAGGAGGGAACCTGGGCAACAGGAGAAGAAGCACAGTGGGAAAAATTCGGGGAAGCCACGAAATTGGGAATCGGGCCAGCTTTGACACTCACAAGCCACCAAACCTCTCTGAGCCTGAGATTCCTACCCTTCAACCACACAAGTTTCTTCCCCACAAAAATCGTAGTTGCCAATATGCTTTAAAAACACAACATTGGGCCCTGGCTGGTGTGGCTCAGTAGATCGAATGCCAGCCTGCGAACTGAAAGGTCGCTGGTTCCATTCCCTGTCAGGGCACAAGCCTGGGTTGTGGGCCAGGTCCCCAGTAGGGGGAGCATGAGAGGCAACCACATATTGATGCTTTTCTCCCTCTCTTTCTCCCTCCCTTCCTGTCTCTCTAAACATAAACAAATAAAATATTTTTAAAAAAATAGAGTTACCATATGACCCAGTAATTCCAATTCTGGGTATATGCTTAAAAGAATTAAAAACAGGGTCTCAAAGAGATGCGTGTGTACCCTGGTGCATAGCAGCACTGCACAACAGCCGGAAGGTGGAAGCAACCTTCCACTCATGGATCAGTGGACAGATAAACAAAATGCGGTATCTCCATGCAATGAAATATTACTCAACCTTAAAAAGGAAGGGAATTCTGATACAGGCTACAAACTGGATGGACCTTGAAAACATCACGCTAAGTGAAACGAGCCAGTCACTAAAAGGCAGATACTGTCGGATCCCACTGCGGGGGGTGCCTACAGCAATGCAAATCATAGAGATGGAGAGTAGAAGGGTGCTTCCCAGGGGCTGGAAGAAGGAGAGACTGGGAAGTTGTTTAATGGGAACAGTTTTAGTTTTGCGAGGTGAAAGTTCTGGAGGTTGGTTGCACAACGATGCGAATGTTAACACTACTGAACTGCACACTTAAAGTGGCTAAGATGGTAAAAAACCAAAATCTATGCAAATATACAGCTTTATTTGGTGCTATCATTACCCAGTTCAACGGGGATTTATCTGAGGGATTTACCTTACAGGTGTGGACCTCAGGCAGAAGGGCTACAAAACTAGGACCCAATGCCTGCCCCGGAGAGCTGGTTGGGGAGATACATGAATTAATAATATCTACCTATTTTGGTCAGGACACTGACAGAAATACCCATTGAGTGCCATGAGAGCCGGGCTGGAAGTTAGGGAAAGGGAGGTCAGGGAAGGCTTCCTGGAGGAGGTGATCTCGAAGGCTTCTTCAGCAGAGCGGTGGAACCTGGGACCTGGTTGGATTCAGTGACATGTTCCTGTCAAATAAATCTGCACTGTATAATCCCTCCCTTCATAACGAGAGTGTTCAGCCCACTATTAAAGCTCACCCAGTTCAGGAAACAAGGCCCATCTGAGTTAACAGCTTTGGGTACTTGGAAGCCAAGGACCCAAATTAAGTACCCTGGGATTAAGGTGGCATCCAGAGGGGACAGAAGCCTGATGTGGCACTGAAGATGCCAGCCCAATTCCTTCATCTAGTCTCCAGTCCAAAGACTGAAGACCCTGAGCGTCCACAAGTTTTTATTTCATCCGAGTGCTTGCATGAGCCAAAGTTCTAGAGCGCTGGAGACAGCTCTGACCTTACACAGCGCAGAGCCAAATCCCAGGGCTTTTTGATATTTGCAACGGCCAGATTTATATCTGGAAGGAATGAAAGAACAATAACAAGTTTATTTTCCAGGCTGTAGATTATGAATTTCAATGTTTTCCTGTCTCTTCGCATGAGGTTTTCTTTCGGTGAGTTACAAAACCCCGTCTCGTTTATGTTGGAGACGGAACAGGTAGCCTGAACGCCGTGGACTCCAAGAGCTGGTGGAAAAGGCATGCTCACCCCATCGCTCCCCCTACTCCTGACTCTCCCGTTCCCTTTGGCAGGACAGCAGCTCCTGAGACAGGTCCCCTCTGTGAGGGCCAGTCTCCAGCCCAGCCCCTGCAAAAAGCCACAGCTGGGTCCTGGGGGCCAGGGCAGCTCTAGGCTGACTGAGAGGGCTTTCTAAAAAGCGAAGTAATACCCAAGCATGCTGCTCTCGCTTGTCACAAACAGTTGCACCTGGTCGAGAAAAACCCTAGCAAACCACAAAAAAATGAACTAACTGCAGGAGTACTAGGGAAGTCTCGGGTGCTCCTAACTGGTCCATGGGACTTTGGAAAACAGGAGGGTCCACCCACCTTGTGCATCATCCCAGCCACCGCGGGGAAAGCCAGAGAGGCCAGCAGAATCTCAGGGCTGGGTGCCCCCACTCCAGGATGGCACTATGACCCCTTCGTTTTCAGCAGAGGCACGCACACACACGGCCTGTCTAAAGCAGCTACGCTTTCGAGCCTTTGCTCAGGAAAAGACTGGGCAGATATATTCTAGACAGGGTTCTTCACAGTTGGAGGACTCCTTGCCTGGAATTACAATTTCCTTAAAGAACAGCAAAAACGTTTGCTCACATGTAGTTCTGTCTGCGGTCCCTTTTCATTGGCTTGAGACTTCTGGGGCGCATGCCCTTCCTGGACCCCGCATAAGGGGCAAAGCCAGCCCGGGATGTGCAGCCCCTCCTTCGCTCGTCCAACAGCCAGTGCAGCAAAATAATTGCTCGGGAACCAGTCCTGGCTCTCCCCGATTGAAAAAAATACATAAATTTTTGGAAAGACGGCACACTAATTTGCTGCCCTTTCCGAAAAGAAAGAGGAACCAAGCGCTGAGGTTTTTGCAGACCTCTGTCGGATGCTGACTCTGAAACTGTATTCTAAAACACCCACTCCCAAAAGAGGGCTTCAAGATGAAAATTACAGAGGCGCAGCTTTTTATAATTAACAATATCATTGCATCACTAGCGCGTGCCTTTTCCAATATCCTGACACCGCCTGAATCAGTCATAGCCATTTTCCACCCATCAGGTTTTCGGGAAGGTTTCCAGACCCTGGAGGGAAAAGTCCGGAGGGGAGAGCCTACCTTTTAAATCCTGGCATGTCCAAGATGCGTGAGCCGCGGAAGCAAAGCGGGGAAGAAAAAGCTGGCCGTGCGGGACCCTCGGAGCAGTTCCTGAACTTCGGCCTCTTCTGGGCCCGTGGGGCTCGCAGATATTGTATTCCAGGGGGGGACAGTGAGCCGTGCAGAGGACGAGGGGAGAGCCTGGGTCCTCCGAGCCACTGGACAGCCCACAGCGAGAGCACCTGGTTTTGCTTAGCCCTCTTCAGTAATTCAGCATTAAACCAATTGGAGGAGGAATGTTAAAAATGAACACTTCATTTTCTAAGTATGTTAAACAATGCAAATGGGGCCTCAGTCTGGACACAGCTGGTTCAGATTACAGCGCTCACAACAATCTTGGGGCGTCTGCCAGGACCCAGTGCTCGGCGCTGGGAGGAGAGCGCTTTCCTCGGGGCCGAGCAGCCGCACTCGGGCCCCCAGCATCTCCGCTGGAGGCGATTGGCGGGCAAGTGCCGGGGAGTGGGGGGCGGGGGGCGGAGGGGGGGCCTTTTGACCCTTTACTCCCCACCCAGTGAGGACATCCCCGCCGGGCTGGGCGGTCGTGGCTGCGGCGTGGGAGGGCATCCAGCCCCCCAACACCCCCTGGCTTTGGTACACTCGTGAAAAGTGAGTCGCCTCTCCAATAACTTGAGCTCGTGACAAACGCCGCAACAGGGACTCGAGTCTTATGATTTATGGGGAAACCAGAACCAATGAAGCAGAGGCTTGGAGTAAGCGACAGGAACTCACGATTTTCCAGAAGGGGTGGAGGACGGAATCTGGCCGGCGCTAACTGAAGACATCAGCTTGTGCAATGCAGACCTTCCCCGGGGCGCGCGCGCCGCGCCCGCCCGCCTTCAGCCCCGGAGCCTCCGGGCACGTTCCTGTGTTAATTAAAAAGTGTCCCCGGACCCCATCAACACATCGCGCACCTTAAACTTACACGGTGTTATATGTTGATTATATTCCCAATATAGCTAAAAAAAATATTTAAAAAAACTTTTTTATTAAAAAAAAAGTGTCTCTGGGCTGGAAAGTGATTTTAACAACAGAAAAGGTGCTTTGAAAAGACAAAAAGGACCGCCAGGACAGGAGGACGACCCTCACCCCCTAAAAGCCCTCTGCTAAGTTCTTCACATTCATTATATCGGTGGCTTCAAACTTTTCTTTTTTCTTGCTTAAAAAAAAAAGCATTCGAACCCTTTTCATCAAATGAAATCTCACCAGAGACGCTATTCCGCAAAAGACCAAAGGGACCTGGCAGTCGTCCAAGCGCCTCCCTCCCCACCTGCGCCTGCCCTGGGCCCTCGGTGAAGCCACACCTGCAGCTGGAGGGGCCGCAGGAAGGCCTGGCTCCGCGCGGGCGGCCGGGGGCCTGGGAAGCGACGAGGAGAGAGGTCAGGTGAGCCCACGGTCCCACCGTGGGGCATCCACGGGCTGCGCGTCTAGCCTGCTCAGAGGGCGTGTTTTTGGCACGCGAATGGAACTGTACCGAAGGGGACCAAAGTTTTGCCACCCTGAAGCTACCTTTCGGGATTTTCATTTTTAAGCTGCGAATGCAGAAAAGACTCAGAAATTCGGACCGTCCCTGCTTGGAGGCCTGACAGGTCCGGAGGGAAAGACCTCTCTCCAGGAAGGGAACCTTAGGAGGTTGGCCTGGGCCGCCTAATCGGAATTGAGTACGGTGGGCCGGAGGAGGTCCTAGGGCCGTTCACTGGGTTTCCCCTGCGTCTCCTTGTTTCCGGGTGGCGGAGCTGGAATTTAGCAGCCACGTGTTCTGGTGTCCCTCACCTGCCTCTAAACCACGGGCTCGCTTCTGAAACCTGAACTCCGTTCCCCCCCCCCCTTCCTCCAGTATGTCACACGTAACCAATGTTGCTTCAGGATTGTGAGAATTCCCCATTCACATGCATTAAAAATTTGATTTTCTACTGCGAATGCATCTCTGTTAATTTGATTAGTGGCCCCTTTGAGAGAATGTAGAAGGTGGGAAGAAAAGAAGTCACTGTTTTAGCCCCGCGGTAGTCTAAAACTACTCTAACAATGGCAGCAGGTTGATAGCTGTCTAAGCTGAGTGTCCATTTATTCTTTCTTTTTAATTTATGAGTTGTTTATTTCTGGAATTGTCCATGTAATATTTTCTGAAATCACAGAAAGCAAAACTGTGAATAAGGAAGAACTGCTATATTTCAGCCTCCTTCAAGTGTTTCAACCCAGTTCTCCTAAAATACATGGCCCAAGGTTGAATGAGCCAACTCTATCTTTTAACATGTTTGCACACATATATCACATTCGGAGCACACACATTAATGCAAGCACCTCTCTGCCTCAGGCCTTCCCTCCCACTTTCTTATTTTATTTTGATTGTTGTTCAACTACATTTTCTGCCTTTTACTCCCATCCCAGCCCATCCCCCCTCAGCCCTCCCCACCTCCCTCCCGCCATTTATTCTATTTACTTTGTGCACGTTGGAAATTTCCCAACATAAAACATTTTTTAAATGCATTATATTTACAAGGTTGTTCATAGTTTGCAAAGCTCGCAATGGTGCAAGGTTGTAAACAGCCTTAACGTCCATCACTGGGGCGTCAGCAGAGTTCAACAAAGTAAGGGACTCCCAGAAATGGATAATTGCGCAATCAATTAAACAGAGTTACATGCATAAGAGTGTCTATTGGCCGATGCCCCTGTATAGAAATCAAAATGGGGCAGCAGGTGGAAGGGGCTCCAGGGGGCTCCAGGGGCCTCCAGGTGCTGGTAATGTCCTAATTATTGATCTGGGTGTTCATTCTACAGGGAAGTGTGCAGTTGGGGTTTGTGAAATCTTCTGCCTGTTCCACTTTGTTTTAAAAAAAAAAACACCGAAGCAGCTCTGTATGTGCCAATATTCAAGGATTTCCCATATATTTTGTAGGTCAAAATGGGAGAATATTGGTAAATTCACCTAAATCAACCTACTATAGTATGAAGTAAAAAGGTAAGTTGTAGACCTGTGTCTAAATCAGGCCATTGCTGGGGAAGATATAGGCACACAAGTTCTTGCTTGTGTGTATATAGAAATGCAAGATGCTGTTAGCATCGTTCGTCTCCCAGGAAGCCGATTGGGTAGCTGGCCAGGCAAGAGAGGTGAGAGGAAAACTTGCTATTCACTGCTCACGCTTCAGTGTAATTTGAATTTTGTAGTACGTGTATGTATTACCTATTCAAGATATGAGGTTAATTTATTGAAAAATATTCTCTGTATAGGTAGGGCTGTTTGGAGGGGTAGAGAGGGTTTTAAATGACTTAGTACAACACATCACCTCACTTATGCCAGCAAGCTTCCTAAAGGCTCCTGCGGGAGGGGAAGTCAATGTGCCCTTTTTCTACGTGAGCAAACGGATTGTCTTGGAAGCAGAATTGTCCACAGCCCCAGAGATGGTTTCCACCCTCAAACTGCAGGGCTGGAGTAAAAGGGACAGAGAAAGGGCTCTGATCAAAGACTTGGGTCTGAGTTGACCTGCCAGGTGACCCTGGACACGTCACTTAATCTCTCAGCATTTGTTTCCTCATCTGCCAAAGAGAAATTTTGTACTAACCTCTGAGGGTTGTCGAGGGAATGAAATAAGTCAGTTATCCTCATGGCTGTCACTGTGTCCGAATTCCCGCCCCTACACAATCCTTTCCAAAATACCTTTAATGTCTAGTACGCATTGCATTACCCACTTTTGTGAGCAAGGAAATCACAGCCTCACTAAGACAGCCCCACTTACTATCAAACAGTTCTGATTGTTAGAAAATTGTCTTGAGTTGAACCCAAATCTATTTCCCTGCATGTAACCACCTTCCCCTGGTCGTCATTGTCCCCACTGCAGCCATGGGCTTCTCTCTCTGCTAGAAAACCAGCTTCCTTTTTGTGAAAACAGTTCCACCTCTTGCCGGAGCTGGTATCCTTTTCCCCAGCTGAACACCCTGGTCCTATCCACAGGTCCCCTGTGAGCCATGCGACCCTGCTGCAGCCTGGACGACCTCTCTTCCTACTGGCTGCGTCACTCAAGTTCAGACTGAACTTGCACCAACAAAAACAGTCCACAGGACAGAGGCTGCTTAACGCCATCTCCATCCCGTACTTGGGTTGCTGATGTGTTTTTTGTTAATGGAAAACAAAGTTTTGCGTGTGTCCCTATGAAATTTTTGTCCATCGTTCCAGATCTTTTTCAACGTGTTTACTACCCAAATATTAAGTGTTATTCCCAGCTTTGACAACTACAGATCTGCTGGTAATGATGTCTTTATCACAATTTCCACTAAAAATGAACCAGGACAGCGCTGACTGGGTCACTCGGTGGTCAGAGCAGCATCCCGATACAGCAAGGTTGCAGGATCAGTCCCCGGTGAGGGCACCTACGGGAAATCAATCAATGAAAGTGTAAAGAAGTGGAACAACTTATTGATCTCTCTCTCAAAATTAATATTAATATTTAAAAATTTACCAGGACAGGTGCTAGAAGGAAGCCCTCCATCCAGCTTGGCACCGATTCATTTCTCTATTTTCCACATTTCGGGGCCAGTGCTGATGTTCTAACTTGGGGTGCTACCAGCTTCTCTCATTCAGCTTCCATTTCCCCACCTTGTCCACAAAGATTTGGTGGGAGACTTTATCAGATGCCCAGCTAACATCAAAATGCACATTATCAATAGCATTTCCAGATCTAGCAATTCTGTTTTAAAAAAGAAAATGAGGTTTGTAGTCATGGACTGCTAAAGGACACTTGCTGGCTTCTAGAGGTCATCACTTCCTTTGCTAAGTGTTATTTTTTTGTTTTATTTGCAAAATAGAGATCCTAATGTCTACCCCACCTCTCATCATTGAGGTTAAACACAATCACAACTACAGAACTTCACAAAACGTGAATTGTAACGTGAATGTCAGAGGTCATCGTCTGCTGAGTGGGACTTTCCTGGCTCCCGTGAGACTCGATTTCCTCACTGTGGCATGGGTTGGAAAACAGATGAGCTATTTTTTAAAAATATGATGCCTCAAATTGAGGGTAAATGTCGCAAAATCAATATATGTAATGATATACTTTGACTATTAATATTAAATTGTTTATTTTTCACTGTCCAAAATAATCACATCAGAACAGGGAAGGGGCCGTTGCTGGGTGTGTGTGACTGTGCTAGACTCCACTGCGCCCTCTCCTTTGACCCCCACGAGGCTGCCGTCAAATAGGACCCCCTCCATCTGCACAGGGGGAAACAGACCTAGAGACGTCACGGCCACACAGACAGCAAACAATCAACACTCTAGCCTAAGCCAAGCCTCCTTGATCCTTGAGCCCTCGTTTTTCCAGTTGACCATGACTTGTTCCAATGAAAGTTCACCGCCACCAATCTATTGGGTTGAACAAAAGGCCCATATGGTTTTTTCCATAAAATAAAAGACAGATTTTTCATTTTCACCAATAACTTTATCGATTTGGTTATTTTGAGTATGTTGACTATCTCCTGCATTGTATAACACTGATTGTTCTCAGTTAATGTCTCGATTCGATCACTATCAACTTCAACTGATTTACCCAACCGCGGGACATTGTCCAGAGAGAAATCTCCAGCAGGAAACTTTGCAGAC